CTCATACCAGGGGGGGGGGGGTAGAATGCAATGAATCCAATCCAAGGGGGCGTGACCTTTTTTTTTTATCACTGATGCAATAAATGAAGCCTTCTGTCTTTGCTGAATAGAAAAAGAAAAAAAAGAAAAAAAAAAAGGAAGGGCACCACTAGGGGGCATCAAACAACAGGGAATCCTCCAGTCATTACTATACAACTCTCCACAGGATTCGATGAGAAGGACGATTGTTTTCTTTTGCTTCTGACAAAAATAGCACAAAGTCAAAGTCAGTTGTTTCAATAACCGTCTGAGGATTTTACAGGCGAGCCTCAAGTTTTAAATGGGGGCAGCTAAAGCGAAGTTGTCAGGACAGAAAATCCGGCGCGGCTGAAGCCGCAGTGTATGGCGGAGTCTGCATTCACTTTAAGTAAACAATGAAGTTCTCTTATTTGGTCCCTTATGGTCCATTAACCCCTTGAGGCCCACAAAACACGTATGGGTGGGCTTTCATGCCACACGCCTGTGTCTGGGGCTTCATCATATGAATTCAACATGCCTGAGCCACACAGACCCGGAATGTCTCCTCTGTGTGCTGCAGATGGAGGCCAGGGACAGAGTGATGCAATGCTTGGCAGGCGTGCCGGTTGTTTGTAGAGACCCCGCTATAGGCTGGAGTGTCCCTAGCTAAATGGAGCTTTGTTTACATCTTCTGGGCTCTGCTGGTCCCCCTAAGCTCAGTGCATTGATTGCTTCTGTCTGCTTCTGTTGAGCAGGTTCCAGTAGTCAGTGTGGGATGAACAATTATTGGCGATCCCCACTGATGACGTGCGGGTGCACGAAACGCGTAAGGAGGAGCCAATTACGCCTTGACGTCACGCCGCCGGAGGAGCCAATTACGCCGCGTCGTCACGCCGCCGGAGCAACGTGGAGCTCCGGCTGCCATCTTTACTGAAGGACGGTTAGTCCTGTTTCTTATCGCGATTTTACCTTGTTTCTGAATGCAATACTCAATAAATGGAGATTTAATTTACTACACTATGGGCATATTCCTGTGTCTGAACTCCCGAGAGGAGTATTCATTTTCAGATGCCCTGTATGAGATAAAGATCCATCCCAGTACCAGAGGGATCCTCCTGCATATCCAGGAAGCAGCATCCATATATCCCTTAAGGGGAACTCTGGCTGTTTTGGGTCAGCACTTAATGTCCCAGGACCTGATTGTTCCACTACCCTGCCCTTCAGAGGGAAGTCACCCTAACATCATACCTACCTTGATGACTTCAGGATATATCTATACTGGCGCATATATACTGCGCGTCTGGTGAGTGCGCAATTCTCTCCATATCACTGCACAAGCACAGACATACCAGAATAACAAGCACCATTAAGAGCACTGAAAGTCACTTTATGAACTACAATATTATTCTGTTTTATGAACTTTTATCACAGCATCTTTTTAATAAATATTGTGCTATTTTTATCAATTTTATGATCTTAATATTGATTTAGCGCTGCACTACTGTTAGGATTGATCTGGATTGTTTGCCTGAGCGGTACACCTCTGTTCTTTGGATTCTGTTGTATTCTTGCTGTCTCCGACACTGAACATTCACGTACCGTATTTTTCGCTCCATAAGATGTACTTTTTTCCCCCCAAAAAAGGGGGGAAAATGTCAGTGCGTCTTATAGAGCGAATATGGAGTGGCCGGTCCGGTATTTCCGCCGCCACCATGTCAGAATACCGGGCCGGTCGTCTGCTCTTCTCTGCTGCAGGACCTTACCTGTTCCTCGGTCCAGCGCTGTACAGCCTTCCCGTGCCGGCTTATGTGACAGCCGGGTGCCCACTGCGCATGCGCGAGAAGCGCTGTGCTTTGTGAATGGTCCGGCGTCTTCTGGGACACATGACAGGTCCCAGAAGACGCCGGGCCATTCACAAAGCGCAGCACTTCTCGCGCATGCGCAGTGGGCACCCGGCTGTCACAGCCGGGTGCCCACACTAAAGGAAGGACAACTCCGCGGAAGTGGGAGCAGGTACCTGTCTAATTCAGGTACCCGCTTCCCCTCCCTAGGTCCGCAGTCTCTGGTCATTCCATGTACTGTCCGCAGTCTCTTGTCATCTCCTGTACTGTCTGCAGTCTCTGGTCATCTGTACTATGTCCGCAGTCCCTGGTATTTTTCCTGTACTATGTCCGCAGTCTCTGATCACCCCCTGTACCTTGTCCGCAGTCTCTGGTCACCCCCTGTACTGTGTCCGTAGTCTCTGGTCATCCCTGTACTGTCCGTAGTCTCTGGTCATCTCCTGTACTGTGTCCGTAGTCTCTGGTCATCCCCTGTACTGTGTCCCTAGTCTCTGGTCATCTCCTGTCCTATGTTTGCAGTCTCTGGTCATCCACTGTACTGTGTCCGCAGTCTCTGGTCATCCCCTGTACTGTGTCCGCAGTCTCTGGTCATCCCCTGTACTGTGTCCGCAGTCTCTGGTCATCCCCTGTACTGTGTCCGCAGTCTCTGGTCATCCCCTGTACTGTGTCCGCAGTCTCTGGTCATCCCCTGTACTGTGTCCGCAGTCTCTGGTCATCCCCTGTACTGTGTCCGCAGTCTCTGGTCATCCCCTGTACTGTGTCCGCAGTCTCTGGTCATCCCCTGTACTGTGTCCGCAGTCTCTGGTCATCCCCTGTACTGTGTCCGCAGTCTCTGGTCATCCCCTGTACTGTGTCCGCAGTCTCGGGTCATCCCCTGTACTGTGTCCGCAGTCTCTGGTCATTCCCTGTACTATATCCGCAGTCTCTGGTCACCCCCTGTACTGTGTCCGCAGTCTCTGGTCACCCCCTGTACTGTGCCCGTAGTCTCTGGTCATCTCCTGTACTATGTCCGCAGTCTCTGGTCATCCCTTGTACTGTGTCCGCAGTCTCTGGTCATCCCCTGTACTGTGTCCGCAGTCTCTGGTCATCTCCTGTACTGTGTCCGCAGTCTCTGGTCATCCCCTGTACTGTGTCCGCAGTCTCTGGTCATCTCCTGTACTGTGTCCGCAGTCTCCGGTCATCTCCTGTGCTGTGTCCGCAGTCTCCGGTCATCTCCTGTGCTGTGTTCGCAGTCTCTGGTCATCTCCTGTGCTGTGTCTGCAGTCTCTGGTCATCTCCTGTGCTCTGTCCGCAGTCTCTGGTGATCTCCTGCACTGTGTCCGCAGTCTCTGGTCATCCCCTGTACTGTCTGCAGTCTCTGGTCATCTCCTGTACTGTGTCCGCAGTCTCTGGTCATCTCCTGTACTGTGTCCGCAGTCTCTGGTCATCTCCTGTACTGTGTCCGCAGTCTCTGGTCATCCCCTGTACTGTGTCCGCAGTCTCTGGTCATCCCCTGTACTGTGTCCGCAGTCTCTGGTCATCCCCTGTACTGTGTCCGCAGTCTCTGGTCATCTCCTGTACTGTGTCCGCAGTCTCTGGTCATCTCCTGTACTATGTCCGCAGTCTCTGGTCATCTCCTGTACTATGTCCGCAGTCTCTGGTCATCCCTGTACTATGTCTGCAGTCCATTGGTTCAGAATATTTTTTTTCTTGTTTTTCTCCTCTAAAACCTAGGCGCGTCTTATGGTCAGGTGCGTCTTATGGAGCGAAAAATACGGTAATTTTTTTGTGAGGGCCCTTTAGTGATGCCATCAGCAGCTACTGGAAGCAGGCACCTAGAGGTGCAGCATGTGGATCTATCTATCTTGTAATGTGTATGCAAATTTCTACCAGCTTCAACAGTTGAAAGCTCAGACCAGCAACCCACCCATCATTGTTATGGGCCAATTGTGAGGTGCTGGAGGTTGGCGGGGCCTAAGCCCCTGATGTTATTATGTGTTGCAGGCTTTTGTAATTTTACACAACGAAACTGAAAATATTACCATTTCTCACTTTCTCCTCCTTTTGTTCCAAAGTCATAGATACCACATGGACACTCGCCATCCGCTGTACTGCAGTAAGTATATATACAGGGCAGCACAGTGGCTAAATGGTTAGCACATCCACATGGCAGTACTAGGGGTCCCTGGTTCAAATCCCAACCATGACACCACCTGCCTGAAGTTTGCATGTTCTCCCTGTGCCTGTGTGGGTTTCCTCCGGGTACTCCGGTTTCCTCCCACTCTCCAAAGACATGCTGGTAGGTGAATTGGCTCCTGTCTAAATTGTCCCTAGTATGTGTATGTATGGATGTGAGTTAGGGACCTTAGATTGTACGCCCCTTGAAGGTTAGGGACCTTAGATTGTACGCCCCTTGAGGGTTAGGGACCTTAGATTGTACTCCCCTTGAGGGTTAGGGACCTTAGATTGTACGCCCCTTGAGGGTTAGGGACCTTAGATTGGACGCCCCTTGAGGGTTAGGGACCTTAGATTGGACGCCCCTTGAGGGTTAGGGACCTTAGATTGGACGCCCCTTGAGGGTTAGGGACCTTAGATTGTACACCCCTTGAGGGTTAGGGACCTTAGATTGTACGCCCCTTGAGGGTTAGGGACCTTAGATTGTACGCCCCTTGAGGGTTAGGGACCTTAGATTGTACGCCCCTTGAGGGTTAGGGACCTTAGATTGTACGCCCCTTGAGGGTTAGGGACCTTAGATTGTACGCCCCTTGAGGGTTAGGGACCTTAGATTGTACACCCCTTGAGGGTTAGGGACCTTAGATTGTACGCCCCTTGAGGGTTAGGGACCTTAGATTGTACCCCTTGAAGGTTAGGGACCTTAGATTGTACGCCCCTTGAGGGTTAGGGACCTTAGATTGTACGCCCCTTGAGGGTTAGGGACCTTAGATTGTACACCCCTTGAGGGTTAGGGACCTTAGATTGTACGCCCCTTGAGGGTTAGGGACCTTAGATTGGACGCCCCTTGAGGGTTAGGGACCTTAGATTGGACGCCCCTTGAGGGTTAGGGACTGATGTGAATGTACAATATATATGTAAAGCGCTGCGTAAATTGATGGCGCTATATAAGTACCTGAAATAAATAAATAATATAACATGGAATATTATAAAGACACCAGAGTCACTCACCCAGAACTTTACTAAGAAGAAGGCATTCTGCGGACCCTTCCCAAACAGCTCCTTCAAGCCCCCTTTCTTCTCTGGAAACTTGTCGTAAATTTGGCGGATGTCTACAGACTCGAGCAGGGGGTCGCTGTACGAGTGGTTTGCTTGTCCGATGTGCACAAAGAGGTGTTTGTTGTACTGTAATAGAAGAGGACACGGTGATCAATACTCCTACATCCCCGACGCCATGTTACGGCAGCTCCCGGTTTTCCCCAGAGCCGTACATACTACACCTCCCTATTCATTTCACATTATCGATCGGCCCATCGCCGCACTTCATTCTCTCCCTCTAGATGTGGTTCACACACACATTACTTCGCATGCATTTGCTCAACATACACAAGACGTCTGATGATAGCTTCATTCTGATCCACCAATGGACCAGAAATGAGAAAACAGCCCTACCCTCCCTATGCTACAATTAATACATCAGATACAAGTTTATAATACAGGCAGACCTCGGTTAACGTAATGTTCGGTTTCCGAATGAAATCCATTGAAAATAATGCTTCGGGTTCACAGATTTTTTTCGCAATAATTTTTTTTCTAATCATGTCCCTGTACAGTATTTATGCCTTTAAAGTGCACTTTATAAAGAGTTTTGAACAGACTTTTTTCTGACCTCCGGAACGGATTAATTGGTTTTCAATGCATTTACAAATTCATTTTTAATCATATCCCTTTATGCCTTTAGATTTTTTCGCAATACGAACGGATTAATTTGGTTTTCAATGCATTAACGATTTTTTTTTTTAATCATGTCCCTGTACAGTATTATGCCTTTAAAATGCACTTTATAAAGAGTTTTGAACAGACTTTTTTCTGACCTCCGGAATGGATTAATTGGTTTTGAATGCATTTACGAATTAATTTTGAATTATGTCCCTGTACAGTATTATTATTATTATACAGTATTTATAAAGCGCCAACAGTTCGCTCAGCGCTGTACATTACAAAGGGGTATTATGCCTTTAAAGTGTACCTTATAAAGAGTTTTGAACAGATAAAATACTTTTTTTTTTTTTTTTACTTTTTTCAGACTTCCAGGACGGATTAATTGGTTTTGAATGCATTTACAATTGTTTTTTTAATCACGTCCCATTATGCCTTTAAAATGCACTTTATAAATAGTTTAGAACAGATAAGACTTTTTTGGACTTTTTCTAAGCTCCAGAACGGATTAATTGGTTTTTAATGCATTTAAAAATTAATTTTTAATCATGTCCCTGTACAGTATTTATGCCTTTAAAGTGCACTTTATAAAGAGTTTTGAACAGATAAAATACTTTTTTTCTTACTTTTTTCAGACCTCCAGGATGGATTCATTGGTTTTCAATGCATTTACGATTTTTTTAATCATATCCCTTTATGCCTTTAAAGTGCACTTTATAAAGACTTTTGAACAGATAAAACTTTGTTTTACTTTTCTCTGACCTCCGGAACGGATTAATTGGTTTTGAATGCATTTACAAATTAATTTTTAATCATGTCCCTGTACAGTATTATACCTTTAAAGTGCACTTTATAAAGACTTTTGAACAGATAAAACTTTGTTTTACTTTTCTCTGACCTCTGGAACAGATTAATTGGTTTTCAATGCATTTACAAATTAATTTTTAATCATGTCCCTGTACAGTATTTATGCCTTTAAAGTACACTTTATAAAGACTTTTGAATAGATAAAATACTTTTTTTTAAACTTTTTTCAGACTTCCGGGACGGATCAATTGGTTTTCATTGCATTTACAAACTTTTTTTTAATCATGTCCCTTTATGCCTTTAAAGTGCACTTTACTTTTTCTTTTTTCTGACCTCTGGAACGGAATAATTGGTTTTGAATGCATTTACAAAATAATTTTTAATCATGTCCTTGTACAGTATTTATGCCTTTAAAATGCACTTTGTAAAGACTTTTGAACAGATATAATTTTGTTTTACTTTTTTCTGACCTCCGGAACGGATTAATTGGTTTTCAATGCATTTACAAATTTTTTTTTTAATCATGTCCCTTTATGCCTTTAAAGTGCACTTTACTTTTTTCTTTTTTCTGACCTCAGGAACGGAATAATTGGTTTTGAATGCATTTACAAATTAATTTTTAATCATGTCCCTGTACAGTATTTATGCCTTTAAAGTGCACTTTGTAAAGAATTTTGAACAGATAAAAAACTTTGTTTTACTTTTCCCTGACCTCTGGAACAGATTAATTGGTTTTCAATGCATTAATGAATTAATTTTTAATCATGTCCCTGTACAGTATTTATGCCTTTAAAGTGCACTTTATAAAGACTTTTGAACAGATAAAATACTTTTTTTTAAACTTTTTTCAGACTTCCGGGACGGATTAATTGGTTTACAATGCATTTACAAACCTTTTTTTAATCATGTCCCTGTATGCCTTTAAAGTGCACTTTATAAAGACTTTTGAACAGTTAAGACTTTGTTTTACTTATTTCTAACCTCTGGAACGGATTATTTGGTTTTCAATGCATTAATGAATTCATTTTTAATCATGTCCCTGTACAGTATTTATGCCTTTAAAGTGCACTTTATAAAGAGTTTTGAACAGATAAAATACTTTTTTTTTACTTTTTTCAGACCTCCAGGATGGATTAATTGGTTTTCAATGCATTTATGAATTAATTGTTAATCATGTCCCTGTACAGTATTACGCCTTTAAGGTGCACTTTATAAAGACTTTTGAACAGATAAAATACTTTTTTTTACTTTTTTCTGCCCTCCGGAACGGATTAATTGGTTTTTAATGCATTTACAAAATTGTTTTTGATCATGTCCCTTTATGCCTTTAAAGTGCACTTTATAAAGACTTTTGAACAGATAAAATACTTTTTTTTTTTTTTTTACTTTTTTCAGACCTCCAGGATGGATTAATTGGTTTTCAATGCATTTATGAATTAGTTGTTAATCATGTCCCTGTACAGTATTACGCCTTTAAGGTGCACTTTATAAAGACTTTTTAACAGATAAAAGACTTTGTTTTACTTTTTTTCTGACCTCCAGAACGGATTAATTGGTTTTCAATGCATTTATGAATTCATTTTTAATCATGTCCCTGTACAGTATTTATGCCTTTAAAGTGCACTTTATAAAGAGTTTTGAACAGATAAAAGACTTTTGTTTGTAGTTTTTTCAGACCTCCGGAACGGATTGATTGGTTTTCAATGCATTCCTATGGAAAACCGCGTTTCGGTTTACAAATGTTTCGCAATACGAAAAGTCCCGCAGAACGAGTTAAATTCGTAAAGCGAGGTAAGCCTGTATATACACACATATATATATATATTATTAATATACAGGATTTATGGCGCCAACAGTTTGCTCAGCACTTTACAGTATAAAAGGAGACATTACAGTTACAATACAATTTGGTACGAGAGGACACAGAGGGCCCGGCTCATCAGAGCGTACAATCTAGGAGATATTATACAGGGTGTTCCAAAAGTCTCCAAAAATGAACAAACTCATATTATATTTTATATTTATATCTTTTTTTTATATTTGTTACACTTTCAGATACTCTAAAAGAATGCCACGTAGAGAATATTTTGTAAAGTTTTGCAATAAATAAAAATTTTGTAAATAAAAGGTACATTTAGCTGCTGTCCAATTTCCCATTTTCCTTCTGTATGCTGACATTTGGGACACCCTGTTATTTAAAACTGCAGCACCAGGATTTTCTAAAAATCGGAAATTTCGCTGTCCCATAGGTTGTTTTGAGGACTTTGATACTGGTGCCTGTACCTTGTAGGAGGACCTGCTTTGGTATTACGTTTTGTTTCTCACTTTTTAACTTGTAATAAAAATATTATGGAACAAAAAATATAAAATAAAAATAAAAAAATCGTAAATTCTAACTTCCCTAAGAACTCTAATCTCATAGGGCAGCACATTTGCCAAGTTATTTGCACTTTCGCCTGGCAGCACTGGGTTCATTGGATCAAATTCCAACCATGGTGCTACCTACCTGGAGTTTGCATGTATGTATTAAATCCATACAGTGGAAGTCATAGGTTTTCATGAGGTCATCTACCTGGCAGTACTGGGGTTGTTGGTTCGAATCCAAACTACGGTATAACCTGCCTGGAGATTGCATGCTCTCCCTGTGCCTGCGTGGGCTTCCTCCGGGTCCTCCGGTTTCCTCCCACACGCCAAAGACATGCTGGTAGGTGAATTGGTTCCTGTCTAAATTGGCCCTAGTATGTGTATGTATGAATGTGAGTCAGGGACCTTAGATTGTACGCCCCTTTGCAGGGATTGATGTGAATGTACAATATATGTATGTAAAGTGCTGCGGCGGTACACAAGTACCTGTAATAAATAAATATAAGGCTCTACCAGCATGTATTTGAAGTGAGAGTGTACCCCAAGGAAACCCATGCAAGCACAGGGAGAAAATGTAAACTCCATGCAGATAGTGTACCTACCAGGATATTGGGGACCCTGGTGGTGTTAGGCAGAAGTGCTGACTACTCAGCAGGATTGAGTTTTAAAAAAGCAAAACATTTACAGAGACACATGCTTTAGATAAAGCCAAAAACCTGAAATGCCCATGTGAACTGCTAATCCAGAAACCCGCGGTGGAGGAACATGCTATCAGCTGTCTAGGCCTGGGGTGTCAAACTCAATGTCATCGCGGGCCCCAAAAGCATTATAATTGTCTTCAAAGGGTCGGATGTATCTGTAAGATTGTATAAATTTATCCAGGGCTTTTTTTCCAACAGAATAGGTGCAAAAATGTAACCACGTCCCCCTTCTGCCGAACCGTGTGGAATGGTGGGTGTGGCCAAATTTCAAAAACAGTGGGAGGATCGTAAAGGGGTAATAAATACCAGGAGTGCGTTATGTTCAGGGATATGCTATATACAAAGGTCAGGGTTTAGGGTGTGCTATGTACAGAGTGCAGGGTTTAGGGGTGTGCTATGTACAGTGTGCAGGGTTTAGGGGTGTGCTATGTACAGAGTGCAGGGTTTAGGGGTGCGCTATGTACAGAGTGCAGGGTTTAGGGGGTGTGCTATGTACAGAGTGCAGGGTTTAGGGGTGTGCTATGTACAGTGTGCAGGGTTTAGGGGTTTGCTATGTACAGTGTGCAGGGTTTAGGAGTGTGCTATGTACAGAGT